AACCACTTAGCTGCTATGTATGTCAGTGAATAGCGACCCCAATAATTTATTTCTCTGATCCAATGATAGGCAGGAATAGAAGAGCAGTGGGAGAGAGGAAAAAACACGCTCAAAACGCTCTGAACACATGTTGGCTGCAGCCATTCCAGTGATTTAAAGTACAAAAAAGCTAACCTATTACACAGGGACTAACCTGTCCGGGTTTTTCAGGTGGCAGATGAAATTAGATGAGGTGGACCTGGCGTCATGTATTTTTTTCCTACAGAAGCTGCGTCACGTAGCGTTAAACCTGGTCTACACTGTGCGTATTTCCTGTTTGGTACCTAATGGCAGGAACTCTGTCTGTAGTGCCGTCCATAACGCCTGGCACACCTCGGACACTATCCCAGACTCGAAGCAGGATGCTAGTTTGTAGCTCTGTGCGACGGTCTGTTTATTTGCACCCGAAGCCGAAACATGCAGCACCACGGACAGTCTTTTGGGAAAACTCACTGTGTGTCGTCTGGCGTTGGATGAGGGGATGTAGATGACGAACAAGCTTATCAAACCGACACACGGACACCCACAATCCTTGCTAGCTTGTGTCCCTCTTGCGTCGTGACGAGGAATAACAATGCAGATCACGCTTCAAAACTGGGCATAAATCAAAAATATCTGCATCATACCTGCGGCAAGGTATGATGCAGATACTGCCACACTGCTGCAGGAGGATACACAACCCTTTAGTACGTGACTGCCTGACAGCTGTTATTCTGCCTCTACAGTCAAAGTAGTAAAAAACTAAAGGTTGCTCACAATTCTGAAATCGCAAGTCTAAATCAATTTGGAAGTCATTAATTATGCAACTTAAGTACTCGAGTCTCAAACTCGTCCCCATCTCTGGCTCGTAGTTCTTCTAACTTATTTCATAATGATCTGACCTTGTCCATGATGAATGATGGAAGAGATGGTTTAAGTTTCCTACTCCTCACTCTTCTCCTTGCTCCTGCTCTGCATTCCCTTTGCCTCCCTTGCATCTCAGCTAGTACTCGTGGATGTAGTTGAAGTATTATTTTAGCCCTAGAGATGTTAATAAGCTGCTCCACACTGTAAAAATTCAACTTGTGTTGTTTGCTATGTTTACATATCATAGCTTCTAGAGACAGAGAGGTGAAAAGCAAAGGTAGCCTCTTCTGATCTGAATGGGAACAAACTCATAAAAGCAGAGAGGGGGGTGGTAGCGGTGGGAGGTGATGCATTTAAAGGCATAACAGAGAAGCTTTGGGACAAACGAGGGCGAGATGTTCATTTGACTGCAGGACACACTTCCAATCAGTTTTGAGCCAATTCATAAATAAAAAGAACTAAAGTTCACACAGATGAAAATGAACTAGATTACGTTCATAGATCACACTGACTCAGTTCACAAACCTATAAATGAACTAGTTCAAGTTCATTTGGTAAATGAAGCCACAATCCTCCACAATAGAACCTTTTATTTCCCCCTTTTAAAAGTGTGGCCATAATATGAAGTCTTTATTTAACCAAATTAGACAGAACTTCAGAAACATACAGAAACATTCAGGTTCTGCTGAAAAGATCTGGATAAAAGTTTTTCTTCCGTTCCTCATTCAGTAGCAGATATTTCCACAGATACCTCGGATGCTTTAACTCCATGTCTCACTTTAAATTGGAAGTGGGCGTGGCTCATGTACAGACTAGTTTGTTAAGTCACAGTTTGCACAAAACTATGCGACGGACTAACTCAAGTGGTCAGTCACCTGTCCTGCAAACAGGAAGCCTGGGTTTGTATCCCAGCTAGGGGGGAATGAGCCACCAGTTTGGATCCTTGGGCAAGACCCGTAATGCTCATGCCGGCTTTGGAGAGTGGCGGCCTAGTGGTCAGGGCATTGCACTAGGAATCCTGAGGTTCTGAGCTCAAGCCCCACTCGCAAGGACTGCCACTCTGGGTCCCTGGGCAAAGACCCTTAATCCCACACTGCTCCCCGGGCGCCGCACAATGGCATCCCACTGCTCCCCAAGGGGATGGGTTAAATGCAGAGATTCATTCTGGTGCTCTGTATTTGGGACAGTGTAATGAAAAAACAGTGACTTTTTTCTGTCCCAGTCTTCCTCTGTTAGTTGATCAAACTCTGCCAAGCGCTCTGCTAAACTGGCATCAGAAACACCAGCAGACCGGTCTGACTGGAGCAGACTTGTACCTGCAGTAGAAATGCTGGTCTGTCAGGTTGTAAAACCTGACGTTTTCCAATGAAAAGTGTTATTTTCTGAACTTCAACATTCAGCTGTGTGTGTCACTCATTATTCTCAGAGTAAATATCGCTCTCATTCCATGTTCATTACTTAAAAACGAATCGTTTCACTAGAAGAAATTAACATATTAAGTGTTCATGAACATCACTGGTTCCATTGATGTGGCAGACCTCCTGCCTTGTCCCAGGACCAAAGAAGACTCGGCCATCAGTCCTCAGTGACTGTAGATTACCCTGATGTCCAACACCATGAAGGTCCTGGAGAGACTTCTGTTGGTTCATCTTAGCAAACAAACCAGCAGCTATCAGGACCCCCTGCTGTTTGCTTATCATCATGGAAATTGAGTTGATGATCCCACCCGGTTCGATCCTCACAACCTGCACTCTGGGTCCCTGAGCAAGACCCTCAACCCCACACTGCTCCCTGGGTGCCGCACAATGGCAGCCTACTGCTCCCCAAGGGGATGAGTTAAATGCAGAGCTAAATTTCACCAATGTGAGATCAATAAAGTTCCATTATTATTCAATTTAGTCTGGTAAACTGCCTTTGACTCCAGCCAGATTTGGCCACACTAATCACAGCACAGGAGACGGGACTTTAGGATGCGTGACTCTCAGCCCCAGATTCGCCCACTTTTCTACAAGCATAACGACTAGCTGGATTCAACATGACTTAATTTGTGAGAAACTCCAGCAGACTCAGGTGGAGGCATCAACAATCACCTGGATCAAATACTAGCTGACTAACAGACCGCAGTGTGTTAGACTGAAGGCTCAGCACATATTTAGCAGGACAGGAGCACCACAGGGAACGGTACTCTCTCTATTCCTTTTTCCTCCGTTCACCTCTGACTTCCAGGACCAGACAGAGTCCTGTTATCTGCAGAAATACTGGGATGACTCTGCAGTCATTGGGAGCATCAAAGATGGAGCAGAAGCTGAGGACAGAGAGCTGGTGAAGCGCTTTGTGGCATGGTGTGAAAACAATCATCTGATCCTGCATGTCAATAAAACAATAAAATAAAATAACAGCTGTTATGACATCATGGGAGAAGAAGTGGAGGAGTATACATACTGGACTGGAGACACTGAGCAAAAATTGGTTGAAAAGACATGACTTGGATGACATGAAAAGACGACATGATTTACATCCAAATAATGTCTACATTGGGTTGAAAAGAGGAAAGCTAAAAAAGCTTTTATTTTCAAATCATTGAAAAGACGTTGAAAACTGCTTCTTATCAACATATATTATTGGATTAAAGTGGGACAAAATCAGATAAAACAGCCCAATTTTCTACAACTATTTTTGGACTAAATCAAGACTATGATGGACCGACTAGATTTAACACCAACGTCTAAATGAGCAGAATTGGTTACCTAAAGAAGCTTTGCAGCATGATGCTACATATGCTCTAGGATTCTGCTGTGGAGAGTCTGATCTGTTCCTCCATATTCTGCTGGGGTAACAGCATCAGACCTATAAAAGCTCAACCAGCGGATAAAGTGGTTCTAGGAACTCCATTAGATCCTCTAGAGATGATTTCACAATGAAGGATTCTTCATAGAGTGAAGAATTATGGATTGTGATGGAAAAATTCCCCTTTTCAATTAATAAAGAATGTTTTAATAGAAATGAACTAAATATGATCAGGCAGCTCTGTCAGTTATATCAATAGTTGCTTTACAAACGTCCCCCTATTGCAAAACATCACTTGTTGTCAGCCTCCGTTTTTCTTTAAACAGCCTTAAATTCAGCCTTACATTTTTTGTTTAACTGCTTTTTTCTTAATCATAAGCTGAAGGGAAAGTTTAATGAAATCATCAACTTTATTCAGATTATAGAAGAATAAAGGGAATTTTATTTCATAAATTTATTACTTTCTTAATTTTATTACAAACAGAAAATAACTTTCTTCGCTATGATCCTATTTTAATTTATTTTTAATCAGTAAATCACATTTAAATAGGTTTTCTCTAAGAAAAAGGGAAGAGGAATGAGATTAGTGCTTTCAGTCTCATGTTTTAGGCCCTTAATCAATTTTGGGCTTAACTAACTTAATAATTAATTATTTGTTGAATTTATAATCTTTTTTTATCTTACTACATGAAACATGGAAGGATCTCACCTCCATCTAATATTTAGGCCTACCTTGAAAAACTGCTAAATGCATACTCAAATTTATTTTTTAACAATTAAGTTGCTTTGACTCTTTTAGTGTAACCCTAATGCTGGGAATTGATTACATTTTATTTGTCTTTTCACAGATGAAACGCCAACTAATAATTCTCAACTGGGTAAGCGCTCCTATACACACACACACACACACAATCTGGGTTTAAGATCAATAGATGGGATCAGAGTTCTGAATATTAGCCTCAAAAAGTTTGCTTTAGGCAACTTGACAAAGTATTGGGGGAAACAAAAGGTGACTTTGATCCCTCCCACTGGACTGGCCTACACTATGGCGGGCATACACTGTGTGATATTTTCAATCGTACGATGAAATCACAGGGTTTGACGGTTAACTGCTCACGATGTATGTTCTTATACTCTGCGACCGAATGCTCTGATGTGATCTACCTGCTCAAACTGTACGTCTAAAAACCCTGTGGGACTCAGCTCTGCAGTGAGATGGCGCTACTCGGACTCGTCAAACCAGTAGCAGAGGAATATGAAGCTCACTAGAGTGAAACGCGCTGCCTTTGCAATCTGTGCAATGTTGTGCTGAAAGCCCTAAAAAGAAAAGAAAACGAGGTATTTGGACAAAGACATGGCGGAGCACACGTGGCTACTACGGTCTGTCAGTTTTACAGAAAGAACTCCATTTCACTCATTGCACCCCCGCCATGCTTCTGGGTTTTCATCTGAGAGGAAAAAGAAGACGAATCCTTGTTTGCCCACTGAGCAATTTGCCCACGACCACCTTAAGATGGCTGACTGAATTTAAAACATGTTCGATTTTCTCCCGACCTTACCATTCCTGATGGGGGGGTGGTCTTTAGAGGCTGATCGCCCCTCTTTACCCCCTGTATACTACACCACGCACCATCAGGCTGGAAGTTGGGCTGATAAAAAAATGATCGCACGACTGGAAAATCAGCCCAAAAAGGGGCAAACATTCTTACAGTTTGTGCATGGCTCTATAGGTGTAATTCATTGTTCCACCTCAGTGCTCCACAGCCACTGAAGGACAGAACAGAAGGAGCCTCTTAGATGAGAGGGGAAATGACTTCTGGAAAACTTCACCTCCATTTGCCTAAATTGAACTTTTTTTAGTTTGATCACTGGAAAAAAAACAACGAAATCTAGATAAGCCATTTTTTCTTAAAATAAGTGCATTTCTTCTTGATTTGAGGAGGTAAAAGAGACATTTTGCCAATAGAACAAGACAATTTACGTAAAAAATAAGTAAACACAATTGCATTGTCCTATTTCAAGGGCATATTATCTAAATGTCTTATTTTAAGAGTAAAAATACTCATTCAATTGGCAAACTATCTCATTTACCTACTCAAATTAAGGGTAAATGCACTTAATCTAAGAAATTTTTACTTATTTCTAGGTCGTTTTTCCAGTGATGCCTTGAGAATCTTCAATGATGAATATCAGCCTTTATTTCCTGCTATATATACATATCAATATATATAAATAATATAAATATATATATATGAATAAGTAAAATATACATACACACAATTATATTAAGTGACATACGTTTTGTTTTGTTTTGTTTTTTGTGTGAACTATAATCCCAAACACATCACACATTTTGTTTTTCTGAGGTAATTATGGAGATTTTGGCATCTGCGCCTAATGAAAACACAACTTTTAATGTGAAATATAACATCTAGCCAGTGAAAAACATTGATTAAACTATGTTTTTATTCCTGCTGAAAGGCTGCTTCCTTCAAAAAGTGCTTTTAATCTGAAAAAAGAAACCAGTTTTATCTAAAACCCATAAGTCTTCAGAAAACACATATTACATGTAGTCCCGCTGGAAAAGTGATTTCCAGAGTTTTGAAGCTTTACAATACTGCTGTGTTAGAATGATCAAGTAGAGGAAATGTTTATTAAAAATATAATCGAGTTTATTTTGTTTCTTCTGCTGCAGCCCTTCTGAATGCTCCAGAAATTCAAATGAACACAGTGACCAGCATACTCATCTCAGGAGTGGTCGTTCTGGGTGTTATAAGCATCTGCATTTCCCTCTTCTTCCTTGTGCTCCTGAAAGGCAGGAATACTCTTGTCACAAGTTTGTCTGGTGTCCGAAATGCAGCGTTCAACGGAGCGCATTAACTCAACTAACCACAGGCTCATCTCCAAACCCTGAGCAACTGGAGACAAGATGCTTTTGTATGTAGTTGTTCAAAGAGTGGCAGAAATGTTGCTAAAGAAAAAAAAGTTATGCATTTTTTTAGACATGTTCAAGTTTGTATATAACAGTATATTATACAACAGATGTTCAGATTATTTGATGTATTGGAGATACTAAAATGTAATAAACACCGACCTCCTGGAAACTTATCGAATAAAGATATCTTTACTGATTTTTCAGTGTCCCAGCACCAGTGACAGACAACAAGGAAGAATTCAGACTGACAATCATAAAATATAAAATCAGAAATAAAATGAATAAGAAACTGTAAAGTCAGGGAAAATGTACAGCAAAAGGAAACAAAATATGCATTTTCAGCAATATTGGCTAAATTAAAAGGTCCCAAACCTGTGAATCCTAAAGCAACACTTGGAGTAATGATAGGCCCGAGCAGCAGAAGCGCTTCAAAAGCCTATTGTAATTGTTCTGTTTATTATCATTTTTATCCCGACAAATGAATTGCCTTTTTGGAGGCCTTAAAACATTCAAAAACTCACAAAACTGTAGAGTAAATTAACCCCCTAATGGAATTTAAAGGAAAAGTCCGGTCAGCAAGGAATAATCAATCTATCATTATCTATACCTAAAACTAATACACTCGTGGTGATTTAATAAATTTAACATTAATCAGTTAAAAAAATAAAAACAATAATTTACATTGTGATCACAACGGCCATTTTTGCCCAAATATAGTAACCCCTCCCTCCTGCCATCTTCCAGCAGTGAGGTCACGGTGCGGTAAGCCTAGCGCCATTCTCCCCGCTTTACAAGCTAAATCAATGGGAACTACTAAACACATCTGCAATCAACAACAATTATTGAAGATTTCCAGAGGACTTCACCATTGAAATTCACCAGAGCTATAGTGAAACTGACAATGCCCACGTGCATGGCAGCTGGATGTTGGAATACATCGGGTAAAGGGGGGAAAATAATTAGCTATTCCACCTTTCTGATTCCTGATCCTCCACGGACGGGTTGGTCGTTGGATCGCCAACTTGAAGAGGGAGGATTTGCCATCGAACTTCTGGCCAGAGAAAAAACCCGTAATATGTAGCCAACATTTGGAAGAAGAATGTTTTCAAGATGACTTGGATAATAGCGCGTTGTGACAAACACCAGATACAGCACTGGGACTTGATCAACAGCCGATACCGCACCGTGATGTCACTAACCAGTAGGTGGCAGTAGTGTTCTTTGACAAACATGGATGCCAGACATCGGCAATGTGGAGTCAACAAGTCATCTCCATGTCATGTATTTAATCTACCCAGCCAATTAACCAGGTAAGTCCAATCTTCACCGTGAATTAACCTGTGCACCTGCTTCAGTGGCTGTGGAGTCAACAATGACTTGTTGACTCCACATTGCCCATGTCTGATGGATGCCTCCAGCACATTCAGATGAAAATTACTGTGAATTAAAAACACCTGTTATTTATTGAACATAATGGAATCATTTCAGATTTAAAGGACTTTCAGAAGTTTGAATTCTGAATATGATCGGACTTTTCCTTTAAGTATTTTAATGGATTCAGATATGGGCGTGGCCAAGCGCCTCAACAGCTCCCCCTAAAGTGAGATAGGGAAAACCATAAATCGCATAGAAATGAAATCAGTTAGGTAGCTCTCCCAAAATCATGAAAAAATTTATTTTGGTTCTAGGCTCTAAAACCTACAGGAAGTCGGCCATTTTGAGTCAAATGTCGATTTTTGACATTTAGTCAATTTTTTTGAAGTCGAACTTTAACAAACTGCTCCTAGGGATTTTGACCCATTGGCTTCAAACTTAGTGTGTATGCAGATAAGGCATGTGAGATTCAAAGTTATCATTTTTTGTGAGTTTTTGAGCATGCTGAAGGGGTGTGGTCAGGTCTCGAATTCGGCAAACTTGCCACGATTTTTGAAAAGCAACAACTTTTACAAGTAAAACTAAGCATCATTGAAGCAACTCCCCCTCAGAACAGGAAGTCACTTTTTTGGATGGAACAGTCTCTCTCTGTCCTACATGACCGTATCAAATTAAAACTTGTCAGCAGACAGAAACATCTTGTCTTAATATCGATCAACACACAGATAGTTTTCATTAAAGAGTGTTGGCGTGGTGGCATGGCGAACGGAGGCATTTTGCCATGACAATACGTTTGGCTCTCATTTGTACATTAATATTTTGACCTGCACCAAAAGCACAACAAATTATCCCAATCCAACCCCACACCGGAATCCAGAACAATATTTTTGGGGCAGGGCTTAATCTCTTAACATCGCCTCCTAGAAATAACGAAATTCAAACCATAAACCTATAAGCCATATTTAGTCCAATAATTATGAAAATACACGTTTGTATCTCAACAGCACCTACCAAAATGTTCTTGGGACCATAGTCAAACCCCACAGGAAGTCGGCCATTTTTAATTACATTTTACCCTGTTGTAAAAGGACTGACCCAATTTGAAACATTTGTAAAAAAAAAAAAAATCTGCCTTTTATCTAAAAGAGATGAAAGTTTCAAAATATGTTCCTTTCATGACCTGCAACAAGTTAGTTACCACAGCAAAGCCCTTATTTAAATTCAGTCACTCTGATTTTTCAAAACTTTCTGTTCTTAGGTAATCGTTGACCATGTGAAAATAAAGGGCACTAAAATCAATCAGCCCCTAGCCATGCTTTTCCAAAGATCATGAAATTTGGCAAACATCTCTATGTGACCAGCACCTACACAAAAGGGAATTGGAGCCATCATCTAAACCCCCCAGAAAGTTGCCTTTTTTGAATCAAATGTTGCACTGATGAAAAGAAAATTGCCGTACTAAAAATATTTCTCAAAAATCAGGCATGTGTCCAAAAGAGCTTTGAGTTTTAGAATAGATTCCTTAAATTACTACTCGTTTGGTGGTACACATTACCTGGCTCTTCTTAAAAGTCTGTCACTCTGATTTTTCAAATGATTGTCTTCACAGGACTTTTTTTGTTAGTTTTATAACAATCCTAACCAAATTTGATCGATTTATTTATCCCTTGTCTGTGCTTATTCGAGCATCTTGCTGTCATTTCAAGTAACTCACTTTATGGCATTCAGATTTAGAATTCTAGCCTAATACCCATTTCGACCACCAATATATATATATATATATGTGTGTGTGTGTGTGTGTGTGTGTGTGTGTGTGTGTGTGTGTGTGTGTGTGTGTGTGTGTGTGTGAGTGTGTGTGTGTGAGTGTGTGT